AATGAAATAAACTGTGTAAAATGGAACACGCACATTCAGAGCAAGCTGAATGCGGTTCTGTTCTTAACTAACACAAAGTTGTCCTAAACAGCAATGCATGAGTGAAGTGATCTGAATGGAAACACCATGGCGTCAGACAGACTGCTACACTGAGAGCTGTCTGTTTCAACCTCTTATACACCACAAGACTTAATCATTAAAGGGGTCATATGATGCTTTTTTAAAGATCATTATTTTGTGTATTTGGTGTAACAGAATATGTTGACGTGCTTTAATGTTCAAAAAACACATAATTTTTCAAATACTGTACATTATTGTAGGTCCTCTATGCCCTGCCTCTCTCAAACGCTTCGTTTTCTACAAAGTCCCTCCTTCCGACAAACGCAGTCTGCTCTGATTGGTCAGCTGACCCAGTGCATTGTGATTGGCCGAACACCGCAAGCACTCGTCGTAAATGTAACGCCCCTTACCATAATCGCGAGCTTCATCTTTCAAAATAAATGTAAAGGCAGAGCCTGAAAGGGGAACAGAGTCTCGTGACAGACACAGTGATGAAGCTGGTATGTGTTTGCAGTACAGAAGCCACGGTTAAGACAGCTGACTCCACTTTGATGTGACCCCCCCCCTCTCGCTCGCGCTCTTTCACATACACACACGCGCGCGCACACACACACACACACACGATGCGCAAAACTCCGCATTTGAACAGTCAATAGCAAATACTTAAACTAATAACGAAACAGTAGCTGATTCAGAAGCGCCAGATTGTCATAGCAAAGTCAGAATTACCTCCTCTCCTAGGTTCACGAAATGGTCATCCATAAAATGCATTGCTGTTCTGTTGTGAGTAATCTTAAAGATTCCTAAATGCATCTACTTTCGGAAGGCCAAATAAAGTGCTTTTGCTTTCGCCTAGAAACACACAGCGTCTCCCTGACATGGCTGCTTCAATACTAACTGCAGTTACTGAAACCACGCCTTCTTTCTTTGCGTGCACATTTGGGCCACATTATGCTAATATTTCCACATAGTGAGGTAGATATGTGGGGGCGTGTTAGTGGCAGAGTCTTAACTTTGATAAAGAATATCTCTTTGGTTTTGAGACTTTAGTCTTTGCAACTTCAGGGATCTTATCTATGCACAATCAGCTTGTAACACTCCAAAGAGAAAGGAAAACTTGAAATTGCATCATATGACCCCTTTAACAATCTACCTACACCCCACCTCTGCAGTTTTTTTTCCCCCATCAAACTTTTTAAGAACAATGCGACACATCATATTTTAAAACAGTGAATCTTAGTTTACCCAAATATTTCAATTCTGTCATTATTTATTCACCCTCAAATAATTCCAAACTGTAACAAAAATATTTGTCTCTGTGTTTTTGTGCATACAATGAAATGTGGATAACGTACAGTTTTTCAGCATCTTTTAAATATCTTCTTTTGTATTCTATGGAAGAAAGTAAGTCAAGCTGTTTTGGCACGACATGGGGTTTAGTAAATGATGAAAGAACTTAATTTATGGGTGAACTATTCCTTTAAGCAACATCACATGACAGCCACAGACTAGGTTAAATGACATACTTCATCAATGACCACGACACTACAATAACCAGCCGAACACACTTGTATCAACACACAGACTATGTGACTGTTTGGTTTTTCCCCAGCAGCAGGGGAATTCATGCAACAAATTAAATCTCACTCAGAGCTTCCTGTATGTACAATAATGGTGCACAAATGCCACTACTGCATAATGACTAATATCAACGATACAAGACGAGACAGAGCAGGCTTTACTGCATGACCTTTTACTGATATTGCACGTCATCTCCTGTCTGAAATGTAAGAAAAATCCAGCAGTTCAGGTCACCTGGCAGTGATTTGGGCCATCCTAAAAAGGCCAACACGGTTTAGAAAAACATAACTCATAACATATTCATAATATTAGGAATCTGGGCAAACATGTCAAAGGGTTTCAAGTCAAGCAAAGCGTACTTGATTTCTGGCCGAAAGGATCAAGGAGGTCAATAATACCTGGACAAAGCAATCTGTTAGCATTCCCATACATCTCAATGGCACTTGTCCGCCTCTTATTTTAAGTCAATCATCTGAGCTGTGAAGTACATGATGTGTAAAACAGAGGCCATGTTCATGTCGACTGTTTTTCCCTCCACATCATCCATTCTTTAAGATTCAACAGACAGTGATCTGAGAAGCTGATGCCATGTCAACACACAAAAAAGCATGCAGAACTGGGAACACCCACCTGTCATACCAATACATCAGCAATATGAAGAGGCTTTTAGAAGTGCAATTACTTAATTCATTATGTAATACATCACATCAGCGTTATGCACTTTCTCTAGACAGTGACTGACTGACTGCTGGGTGAAGACGACGGACAGGCCTTACACTAAATGACAATGATCAGGTACAGGATGCAAACTAACAGCTTCCTATTTAGCTGTTATTCCTAGTTCTAGAGCTCGGTTTAGATATAATGTCATCACTGGATAACGCTGTGTTGTCATGTATAATCAGTGGATCCTGTTACAGTAACAGATCTAAAGCTGATCATGTATCAGAGTCAGACTCTAGAGGTAAACAGGTGACATCGGCACGAGCCGTTCAGACTGCTCTTACCTGACGTTTAAATGTCCCGGTATTCTCCCGTCTGTCTTCGATGGCATTTGGAAAAAGATTATTCCAGTGAAGCTCTCGTGGCGCTGCTAGTGATGATGGTGTTTATGTGACACTGTCGGATGGGCTTAGCTGAAGCCAGCGCTGGCTACACTCCGCATTACTACCGGTTAATGGATCGGCAGCCGTCTACTCCGTGCACTTTAAAACCGCTGGAAAAAAATCTCGGCGAGACTTTGAGGGAAACAAGAAAAAATCCGATAATATTGGTCGAGTCGAGGCCGTTGTTTCATTTGAAACAGAAATAATATTCACTCTCAGTATTATTTACAGTGTGTGAATATGTATCTGACGGCTCAACCAAACATGCTTCATTAGTGGAGAGAAACTTGCTCTCCTATTGGCCGATGAGTGACAGCTACAGCCTGCATTGGTCATTTCGGATGTCTTTTATTTCGCCCCGCCTCTTGGGGTTTTCCAGTGATTTGGCAGAGGAGTTTAAAGGGGTCCTGTTATGCTCTTTTACAAAGTCTTGATTTTGTTTTGGGGATGTACTAGTACAGGCTCTCATACTAGGTTGTTCTAAAAACACATTCTTTTTCAAATATTTTACATTATTACAACACCTCTCTCCCCAGTCTGGCATGAACGGCTCGAATAGCTCCTGTATCAAATGAAAGCCCGCCTTCTGAAATACGAAATGTGCTGTGATTGGTTAGCTGGGCCAGTGTGTGTTGTGATTGGCAGCACTCGGGTGTCTGGTCGGGAAATGTCACGCCCCTTACCATAGCTGTGAGCTTCAGTGTAAATATTGTGTGAAAAATCTAATTAATTTGAGCGATTTAAACCTGGATGATTGTAACCACTCTAAGTTCGTCTGCCTTGGGAAAGCTAGCGTGTCTCTGACATAGTGATAACACTCGTTGCCTTCTCTAGTGCAGCTCAACCAGGTCTCGTCCAATTCGTCGATATTTGTGATATCACAAATCCCGGAAAATATGCGTTGTAGTCCAAACGGATCCTTCGTTGTAGTTTTTGAAAAGTGATTTCTGTTAAATAAAATATCTCCTTTTGAAGTGGACTTTGAGCTTTGTAACTTTGCAGATCTTTTTATGCTTAAACAGCAACATTACAGACTAACTAAAGTTGAAAAAGTGAAAAAGCATAATAGGACCCCTTTAAGGAACTGGCAATGTGACAAGTTGTACACTAAAGTTTACAGTTTACTTTCAGTTCCAAGCATTTAGGTTTAAATACACAAGGCAAATATAAATGCATATTTAATTAAAATGTAACCATTTTTTATTATTCATGTTGTACTTTTTACATAGATTCTAGATGGATGCTCCTGTATCAGTAAACAAATGTTTAATGAATTTTGTGTAAAAACAAATACATCTATGGATATTATGCAGCTCAATATAAGTCATAGAATTTGAAATTAAAGCAAAGGGATTCAAGACCATCATAAGAAATGGTGCAAGTAACAGACCTTAAATAGATTATGAATATACAATATGAAAAAAAACTCACATAAAAACAACTATGTACAATAAATATAAACTGAGAATGAGTGCAAGGGATAGCGCCAGATAAATCTTGTGTGCTACTTGTCCCACTTTTAGAAGTTCAGTTTGTGTATCATGGCTTGACAGTTTGAATGTTACTTATTAATTTTGTGAGGTTTTCTTCTACAAAGAAACGTTTACAGTACTTTTATCTCAATGTAGCAACATAGGACAGATTCAAGATACAATGCTAACACAGGATTTTAGACAGTCATTGTTCAGCCCCATGCGATGTTCTGGGCTGCGTTTCCAAAAATCACCGTAAGCCAAGTACATCGCAGACCCATTGCCACCAATGGATCTATGATCAACTTAGGCTTATGATGCTTTTGGGAAACGCTGCCCTGATTGGTACCGTGGATATTTAGCTTTTAAGCTATACCTCAACTCCATATACTAGGGTGACCATACGTGCCATTTTCCCAGGACGCGTCCTGGCCAGGATTTCTATTGCCTAAAATATCTCTAGAGGTTTTGGCTTTGTTTGCGTGTGCAGACCGATCGGTGTATGACATCAAAATACCTTGAGATCATTTAGAAAGCATAAGGAACCGTCTGTATGGTATTTTGATGTCATACACCGATCGTTCTGCACACGCAAACAAAGCCAAAACCTAGATATTTTAGGCAATACAGATATCCTGGCCAGGACACGTCCTGGGAAAATGGCACGTATGGTCACCCTACCATATAAGCATGTTTGCTACAAGACAGCCATTTTTGACTAGCTAAGCCATGGATTCCTGCATGTGTCTGCCTCAGTTAGGTCCAGTCTTTTTTTTTTTTAGTAAAATGATGAGCTTTGTATTTGGGAGTTTGATGGCAGGCATTACAGAGCCATCTTGCTCTCAGAAGGTCAATCTGCTTTCTTGCTTGCTCAGCTCCTCCTCTTCCTCTGGGCTCAGATTATTTCCTCTCAGCCTTTAAGAGCACAAAGCAAAAAGCCTTTGTATTAAGGGCATTATTCACAACACAAACTATTCATCGGGCATGGGTATTAATGTAATAAAGCGTTTAATTTCTATTGAAACTGAATGGGGTAAGTTGTCACAATGGAACCTGCTGTTAAACACAGTGTTGCCTGTTAAGCCTGTTGAACCCGCTGTTAAACTATAGTCCTTTCAGCAAAATTTAAATCGTTAAACAACTACGAATAATTAATGAAACAGCAAAATACATACACAAATTTCAAAATGTTTAACTGTTGATTTCGCCAGAAATATTGTAATGAATAAATATTATGCAAATGTATATCTTCCACATGTGACAACTTGAGTACACAGTTTAACTTGTCTGTTAACACTCCTGTTGAGTCTTGACTGAATGTATGCTATTGTGCTTTTATTGTGTTCACCTTTTTATACAATGATGAGAACAAAAATATGAGATTGTGAATTTAGTTTGGCAGACAGATTTATAAATATTATTATAACTTAAGAGGGTTTGAACTATTGTATTGTATGTTGTAAAACCAACATACAATACCACTCTTAGAGAAAACACATTTTTGTCTGATTCGACTTTTGACCCAATGAATGCTTGAGTGAAATGAATGAATTTATTGAGTAAAAACAAGCACACAGAATCAGCTAAAATGCAAAAAAATTACCTTACCAGACTTCCTTAACACTAGAGTTAATTTTCAGTGCCTCTATTAGACACTCAACCCCCTCTCTGCTGATACAGTTTTTGTTTAGCCTAAGTGAAAGAGAGAGAGGGCATGTAAATCTCAGGCATGTAAATCTCTAAATTAATAAATAAATGAAGATAAAAAAGGAACAAAGTGGATTACTCACCACAATTGCTCCAGAGTTTTGCTCTGACTGATGAGTTTAGCCAGAGCGCATGCACCTGCACTGCCCACACCATTATCCACCAGACTGAAACAAACCAACATTATCACTACCCACAAAAATGAACACATGCTGCATAGCGTAGCTCAGCACTAAAATTTTCTTTGATCTGACTGGGCAACCTTTTTTCACTGTTTAGAATAAACTAGCTGAAAGTTTATTCTAAACAGGATTTTTTTTTCATATTTCTATATGGAATGCAGAACTGTGGTAATATAGGGCTATCCAAGATTACCTTAGCCATATTAGCGTTGTGCTATTTTTCAGCGCAGCTGCCAATGCCTCAGCTCCCCTGTCCCCAATTTTATTACCCCATAATCTGGAAATAAAAAGTCAGAATGGAAATACAATTTAATATAGTATTGGAAAATACAAAAATTAAAGAATTTTAATTCTTTACCCACCCAAGAAACTGCAAAGACTGGTTGTAGCTTAGGCCTTCTGCCAGCTGCTCTGCTCCCTGCGACGTGATGTTATTATTTCCAAGCCTAAAAAGCAAATATATATTTTGCATGAGAAACGTGTTTCTACATGTGCAGTACAACCTGAAAAATTTTATTAGAATCATCAGCATCACACAGGCCAGAAAAAGCACATAATAACCTGACCTGAAATAAGCACTGACCTCAAAGATAGGAAGTTCTGCTTTGATTTTAACAGCAAAGCAAAGTGTTGGGTGCAAGCATCTGTGAGGTTGTTATTGAAAAGCCTGCAGAAATATTGAGGTTGTAATGAAAGTCGATTATTCTAACTATAAAGATAAAATATGTTATTCATAAAATGCAGAGTTTAAGAAGTTCAATATTCTCACGCTATTTTTTGGAAGCTTTCACACTTCATTCCATTTTCCAGAAGTTTCCGGATTCCTTCATCTGATATGTTATTGTTCCTTAAACTGAAGGATTCAAATTCTTATAAATCAATTTGCAAAAAAGTTTTCAGAAAAAAAATATACCCATAAATGAAAAATCTGTCACCATGTACTTTTCAGCACATCACTCCAAACTTGTATTACCTCCTTCTTCTGCAGAACATATAAGATATTTAAAATTGTATTTTTGGGCTCCAAACAACATTGTACTTTATTGACTTGCATTGTATGGACAAAAAAGAGACCTTTTCAAAATATCTTCTTTCATGTTCCACAGAAATGCATACAGGTTTGGTTGTGTAATTGAAAACAAGTAGATGATGACATTTACATTTTTAGGTGAACTATTCCTTCAAACAACCTTTCAAACAAAACCACAATGAGTTAACCTCTCATCTTACTAAAGGGAGTGACAAATATGTAGACATGGAAGAAGCTGCTCCGCGCCCACATCTCCAACTGAATTGTTGTCCAACTGGAGCCCAACAGGATTCCGCAGGTACTTCAGCACATACGCCAGCGCAGTACATTCCACAGGACCAATGTTACAATAGGTGAGCTTCAGGTGCTCAACGTCCAACTTAGCCATGGTATCTCGAGCAATACTGTTGTCTTGCATTTCATAGATACACTTAATTAGCCAAACAAAACTTGGCATGGCATGCATGCTCTTCTTTTCACCTTCTACAGGACGAGGAATGGACTTGAAATGTCTCTGCATACCTTTAGACAAAGACTTCACTACCTGCTTTACCTTGCGTTCCCGGACAGCAATAGGACAGCATTCCAGCAAGAGATTATGGTGCCGCTGGGATAAAAGTCCTGACACAAACTGAGCTGTAATCTGGAGGTTTGGTGTCTCTGTCACATGGGATTCCACCTCCTCTACAGAACTGTCTATACAGTGTCCCAGACATCTTTGAGACAGACCTGACAACTGCCTGTACTGGGCCTGAAAGAGTCTGGAGACAGCAGAGCGATCGCTGTTACGATTGAGAACTACATAAAGAGCAGCGAAGAAGCATTGTAAGGTGATGTGCAGAAATTCATAGCGTTTACAATCTGTAACAGATAGGTCATTGCAGTAAATGAGGAAACCCAGGCTGACATCCTGTTCTGTCAGCCCATTTCTTTGCAGCTCATATCCTGAGAACACATAACAAGAGGCTTCAAGACCTTCCAGCGCCAGCTGTCCAAGTTTTAACACTGTGTCCAAATGTTCCTCCAACCAGGCCTTTCCCAGGACTCCTTGGGGCTGAGGTGACTTTCGCTGGAAGAAATGCTGTAAGACCAGGAGGTAGACATCGGTGATTGTCTGGGGAATAACATCTTGACCACCTAGAAGCTCCTGGTGGCACTTGGTCACAATCCAGCAGAAGACTGGGATGTGGCAAAGGCTTAATAACACTGTGTTAGCCTGGAGGGACTCTATGACACGTCTAGCCATAGCAGGGTCGCTGTGATGCTTCTTAACATAGCAGTCAATCCCTCCAGGAGAAAAACCCTTCAGGAGCACTTCTTTGCGGAGATAGTGCTTCAGCGATGAGCCTACAGCCTGTGGCCTGCTAGTGGCCACCTTCATAACTCCCTTCATTAGCGTACCCTGCAACAGATTGAAAAGCAAAATAGGTATTGGCACTTGCTTTGTGGGGCAGCAGTGGCGTTCTTCATCTGTGAAACCCTGTTTAAACTCATCGAGCCCATCAAAGGTAAAGAGGGCCAAATTAGGATGGTCTAGGATGAACTGGAAAACCTCATCCTGACCTCGATCAGGCCAGCAGCAGTGCAGGAAGAGGAGCTCTTTCAAAGACAGTTCTCTGTGCTCTGAGTTCAGCTTGCGGCAACTGAAGGGGAACAGCAGGAAAGTGTTTGTGAGCAAAGCTTCTCTTGCCCAGAGCAAGTGCAGTCGCTGAAGCAGTGTGCTTTTGCCACTTCCTGCCTCCCCAGACACAAGAACAGTGTCAGCATCTTCATTAAGAGTCCCCAAGGGACCCACCACATCCTCCAGCCCTAGTGTAAGAGTTTCACCAGAGCCATCCATCACTTCAAGAAGTCCGTCGGTGTAAATGTCATCCAAGGAGAAACGTCCTGTCCCACCATAGGTGCTAAGGGAATGGGACTGGGCAGCAACAGAGCTTCGCAGCTTCTTCTGGTAGAGCAGACAATCTGGAGAAACAATGTAAGTAAAAGACAAATTGTATTGACAAATATATAGATGGATTCAGTACATTTACATTTATGTTTTTGAGTATGTAACTATGAGAAATAAAGAAAACGGAATGTAACGGAATGTAAAAATGTAAAATTATATTATTAATTATTTATATTTAATATAGTGATGACATAATTATGAGTGGCAACATAATTATGCCCATCTTTGTGCAGTTGACAGAGAGTAACACCGAAGACAAAGACATGCAAAGATACCCTGTCCACACAACTGAAAAATGTTTCATACTGGCAGAAAGGTGATTTTCTTTATCTTCAGGGTTTGGTCTGGTTGTCTCAGTTTGCTCTAGATATTGTAGTAAGGTCTTTGCAGCAGTTTCCCCTTTAAACCTCACTTGGTCTAACAGCCTCCGAACCTGCCACAATCCAACAAGAACATTGTCTATCCACAAGTAATGGCCATTTACTGTTAACAAGCTTGAAATATTTACATGCCAAACTGAATTGCACTTAATAAGTACTAGATGAAAACAGTTACATTTTCAGAGTATGTATGAGATATACAGTATATCACAATGTGACAACTTTCATTTGGCAATTGTTTGAAAATTGTTCAGCAATTCAACAGTCAGTACCAATGAGTAGTCATGGGGAAAATTACGTCACGGTTAGTCATGGGGCACACTAAATTTCAGGGATTTCATAACACAAAGAAACAAACTATGGATTAAAGTAGTATTCAAACAAGTTACCTGTTGTGAGGGTGTGTATACAGGTAGCTGCACCGCATCACAATCTTTAATGGTGAAGCAGCCAGTTGTCAGTAAAGCATTCAGTGCTCCGTCAATATTATCTCTGAGCTTTCTCACTAACACTGGCCTGTCAGCAAGTAACGTTAAAGTTGCAGTGTCTGGTCTGTTCTTGCCCAGCACAGCACATTCTTTCCCAAAACACAGCCCAGCCTTCTGCTCCTCAGGTAAGACCTGGTTCATCGCAGCCAAGAGAAGGCTGCATGCATCTTCTCCTTTATCATACACCACATCTAATAGTTGCCTGACATTGGATAATAGAGGTTTCTCCACCACTCTTATGCTTAGATAATCTTCCCAGACAAGAACCTCGCAAGCCAGGAGCAGGTCCAGAACGCAGTCCAGAGGTTCGGCACTGCCTCCACCACACAGGACTGCCAGAAGCTCTGCTCGTTGTTTTAGGATCAACTGGTGAGCAGTCATTGTGGTACTCAGCCTTGTCTCAGCCAACAGCCACAATCAGAACCCTGCTAAAGGGATGAGATAGTGAAGGCCAATAGCATCACGACTTCTTTTGTAAATGTATATTGTGGTATTTATTAGATATCAGAGATGCCATACACTGCAACAGCTACGTTTCCATTTGGGCACTCATTTCCTAATTTTTCACGAAACTTGCGTCTAGATTCGGGCGTGATGATTGTACTTTTAGTTAAGGCACATTATCAAAATGACTTTTGATAAATAGGCTATACTCCGCAGTCATCAGGAAGCGTAATTTTAAGAAACACTTACCAGACAAGGACTAAAATATCTCCTGAACGTCATTGCTCCCCCACTGTGAAGGTACAGTTTTCATTCATGATCATACCTGTATAATTTCAGAGCAAAAGCGAGTTATTTGAAATTTTCGAAAATATTTCGCAAACGAAACACGATTACAAACGTCAATTTACTAGATACACGATTGCAAACGTCAATTTACTAGATATCAAGTAACTGTGGTAAATACCTCAGAATATGAAAACACCACAAACACATGCTTATCTGTCCTTACAGACCGTTTAGCCACTTTATGGTAATGATCGTCCGAATTGAAAGTGAAAGAGGAGGCGCGTCAAGTCGGTTACACATAAACCAGTCTTTGTTTAAAGTTGTTACATTGAAGACAGGGGGTGTTGTGACCCTTTGTTGACACGTCAGTAAGTGATTGCTGTTTTGCACAGTGTCAAAAATGTGAATATTGATTCAATATTCATAACTATCTGCTTCAGTTTTAAAACGTTTTGAGATAGGCTTCTTATCACTCATACTGCGTAAAGTTAATGTCAAGTAAGCTACAAAGAGTGTTGTTACTAAGTACTTTTTGTCATGTAAAGCCTTGTTTTTAACCAAAATAAAGTTGTATAACTTCTGCTGTCACATCAGGAGGGTGGTGCTCCCCGAGCTTCCCCTACTCTTGTCTTGTAGGCAAAGTTTCGGGAGCGTTTAAATGCGGAAGTGAATACTAGTTAAACGAGTTCTCTCTCGATGACTGACAAAATAATAAACGTAGCAAAGGTTTGGCGTCTGTCGGCTGTGTGAACAAGAAACTTCACTTGCACAGTTGTAAAGAAGCATGCAGAACCACCCTTCAAACACCAGAGGGACGTCTAACATCATGTAAAACATTGGGGAAGATGCCCCCAAGGACAATGTGCATTTGCTGTTAAATTGCAAAATATTTAGAAATACTTTTAGAATTTAAAGGCTGATGGTGCATCAGCTAATGTATTATTAATGGAAATTCAATAGAAACAGGTCTCACAAAATGTACAGTTATTCAAAGAGGCCATTACCCCTATACTGGGGTAAGATGACCCCCTACCTGGGACAAGTTTACCCTGGGTAAACTATTACATAATGTATAAATCTTAATGTATAAATCTTAAATCTATAAATCAAATATATGAATGACAAACACTAAATCAGCTAGTCTATTTAAATTGAGTTTTGACCGTTTAGATGAACAATTGAATAACCAATGACAGACAAGGCATAATTACAGTAAAAGAGATTCATTTGAAAGGTAAATTTATTCCATGTACAGGTATATGAATGTAGAAGTAGGCTATTTAAATTCACATATTTTAACAGAATATATGTTGAATGATTAAATGATTTCACTTAGATTTTAATGAATAGAAAAGATGTCTGGAAAGTACCTCTTGGAATTATTGCATAATAATCCTATAAATTACAATAAATATTAGGCTAAATTAATATTTAATATTTATAGTTCATGTTAAATTCTTGTGTTCAGCCTACTGTGTATTTTTTAGTTCTTGCAAATACTACTGTCTGTGCAAATTTCCTATAATGTATTAACAATGTTAAATAAATATTTTCAGCCAATTTCAACAAATTGTTTAATTGTATTTATTTGTTTGTTTGTTTGCTTAGTGGCCTTGACTGCTTAGGGCCTTAATCCACTCAAGGAAATGATTATGTTCTGTAGACTCATACCATAAGCAAATACTGAGCAGTTGTTGTGTTTATTTATTTTAGTCTACAATCCTAAACTGTCCGATCTGGAGTTTTAATTGCTCAAATAAAGCAATATATTATGATATCTTCTGATGATGAGACCCAGTAGTCAGCCGAGGAATATATGACATTTATGGCGGTGTGGGCAGTGGAAGGTGCTGTGAGGGTTTGGTGTTGATCCTGTGTGGGGGCTGTTTGGCTTTGATGAGACCAGAGCTGATCAGCATGATGTCTTCATCTCTCTGTAGCTCTGTCATCCACAGTGTAAAAGACAACCTGTTTGGCCAGTCTAAACAAACTTTGTTTTTCTAGTTAAAAGAAATACAGTTACATGACTTTCTTTGAATTTCAGTTTATTTGAACTGTATCTCCATATGTTCCCATTTTAAATGCAACTTTACATCCTGTTTGCTTCCTCAATTTATGCTTTAATTCAAATTCAGGAACATTTTAAATTCAATTCTGAATGGTACACAACCCTGGTTGGCTGAATGGAGACCATGATCAACAATTCTGCACAACAGCAATGGTCATTTTCTTCTATTAAGGAGATACAACCAAATTAACTGACTCACTCTCTTTAGTATCTCTCAATGAACTTGTCTATCATGCTGAATGTGGTGCACTTCTGGCATTGCATTGGACACAGAAGAACAGTCATGCAGTGGCCATGCAGCTGACAGTGACAACACAATTAGCCAGTGACTCAGAAACAGAGCAGTAGTGTGCAGACAGACGTTGTAAACAGATTACCTTCAGTGTGCTACAGCTTTCTTACTCTAGTTTTTATCTCTGTTTTTTAGAAGTTGCACTATTGTACACCCCAAAATAAATAATAATAATAATCAAAAAGCTTCAGAACTAGAAAAAATATTAAGGATTTTAGCCATGAAAATGAAATTAGACGCCCTGGTCAAATCAGGCTTATTGGTATAATACTCAAACAGCTGAAAGAAATGCAAAAATATTCTTTATACCTAAAGTGTGTGTGTGTGTGTCAGAGATATGTGGCTTCTCCATTCTGTCTTTGTCTTTGATCTACATAATAAAAACGTGGGGAATAGAGTTGTTTTGTTCCTTTATTGCCTGTTGTTTTGTCATGATTGCTTTATCTCATATTTCCTCATGTGCCATGAATAGTTTGTCATCTTATCTGAGTAGAATATAAAGCTCTGATGAGTCCGACAATGACAGATGTAATGACAAACAGTGAGGTGTGGGTTGTCATGTTGATTTTCCACAAAGACTGTTGGGGTACAGAGAGGAGAGTTCTGACAGAAATGCTAATATCCTAATCAGAGAAGTACCTTGAATTGAACTCCCTTAGCACAATTGTTTTTGTCATTTCTTGTCATTTCACATTTTGTGTAAAACTGTGACTTGTACACTAATTGTAAATATGGGAGGACAGGAAGAGATACAGGATTTTTATTGTCCCCTCAGCATGATGGTGTGATCATATGATAGGCTAACGTTAGTGGGTGATACATGTGGAGTGGACGGAGACAGCAGTATTTCGTACAACTATACATAGCTACTGACATTTGTCCTTCATTAATAATACAATAGTCTATTATTTAAAAAAAGAAAGAAAATGCTGTCCCCTCATGTCATTCCAAACTTGTATGACTTCCTCTCTACTGTGAAATGTAATGCAAGATATTTTGAATAATATTGGTAACCAAACACTTTTGTTCCCATTGGCATCCATTGTATGGACAAAAAAATAATAATTACATGGAAGTTGAAACTTGAAATGGGAACTGAAACGTCAAAACATCTTCTTTTGTGTTCCGCAGAAGAAAGAAATGATTACAGGTTTGGAACTGGCTCAAAATAGTCAATTGCTCAACAATCAGAATACACTGGTCATGCTCAATGTTTTTGATTCACAAAAAAGAACCAGTTCGTAAAAGTCATTTGCTCGGGAATCAGACAACACTAGTCGTGCTTTATGTTTTTTACTCACTAAAAAGAACTAGTTGATAAGAGTAATTTGTTCGGGTATCAGACTACACTGGTCACACTATGTTTCGGATTCATTAAAAGAACCAGTGGTACAGGACACACTGGTAGGCTACACATGAAATGTCTCTGACAGGTTTATAGTACTCGAATTACACAGAATTTAATTAATAACTTCATTTGAAGGTTCTGTATTCTAGCTTAATTTTCATTAAGGGTCTCATTTGATCACATGCAGACATGTTGGTGAGCTTCACTTGTCACAGAGTGGTTACGGCTGCTTGGAAGGGCAGCACACCGGGGAATTTTAGGGGGTAAGGGGGTACCATACCACATTTACCCAAGAGAACATGAAATGAATATCCACTTTTCACAAGTCTAAAATAGACCTCATACTTTCTGTATAGATGATCTTTAAAGCTAGAGCCTGGTCTGCACTCAAAGTGTTGAACTGTTTTCCCACTTGAAATATTTACATTATTAAAAAAGAGGTCTGCTGCACATCTCTTTCATCCCATAAAAACAGCCATAAATTCGTATTTCTGTCCGGCACACCTTCATGACGACACAATTTATATAACATCTGGTTTTATAAAAACCATTCATTAAGATGCAGTCTCATTCAAACAAGTTTGTTCTTCCGTTTGATCAGACTTCAGTTGCGTTCAGCCTAACAACACTTCATCACACATGCATCGCAGGACATTGTCAGTTCTCACTTTTTTTCTGAAATAGCACATCAAAGAAATAGGTGAGTTGACACTGTTTGAGAGTCTGATGTAAAACTCTGTCAGCACAGCGGTGGACAATGGCTTCAAACAGACCGGGGAGGCAAGCCAGTAAGCGATGTCCTAATTGAGTCGAGTCTTGGTGAAATTGGAAGCCAATTAGTGCGGAGCTTATGAGACATGCTCTGTCAAAAAGAAAGAGATCAAATGTCTTTCAGATGTAGAGAATGGAACAGAAGAAGTGCCAGCACGTGCTGCAGCGCATCTGCGACCGCAGTCGCAGGCACGCGCCTTTATCTGTGTGTTTGTGCGGTTGCTTTGTATTGAGTTTTAATTGACACGAAGATTAAAGCTCACTTCTGGGGAGTTTTCAGCGGATGGCTAAAAAGAGAGAGCGAGGGAGTGAGCGATAGTAGTTAGAGGAGGAGTGTGGGGCGTTGTGTGCGTCGTTGAAGGTTAGCTCTAGCTCCCGCTGCGTGAGCACTGCCTGAGATGGGCTACTTGTTGGACATTCATTATCAAACCCTGTTTGGTCCTTTCATCTGCTGCTCTGCAGAGCCCTCCTCGCAAACTACAGAGGCACCTTGCAGCTTGACATCTTTCCATTCACTCTGTACCTTAAACAGCATGCTGCCACATCAAAGCAGACACAAGCCCTTTGATGTTTCAAAAATAAAGAGCCCCAATGATCTACTCAAAACCAATGGAACTTTTTGGTGCCTCTCTCTCCCATAAGCACTCGCACACTATCTCTCTCTCCTTCTCATTTTGCATCGGAGTTTGAGGAAGATATCCAGGGCTAACTATGATAGCAACAGCCCGTTTACACCTTTGAAAAATTGTGAACAGCGTGTATGCATGCAGTTAACATATCAAGGGCTATGTAATGTCAGATGCAGATAAACAGAATAATTGGAAAGTAATTCAATTAGACTCACACTGTGAGCCCAACATAACTACAGCATCCCGACTATGAACTGTGTCAAGGTAAAATGGCAAAAAGTGGGAATTCCACAATGTTTGTATATGGCAGACATAAAGGCCTTGCGTATCCTATTTTCTGTGTGAATTTCTGGGACTTCTGATTTGTTAGCCGCTATACATGGAAGAACAAAACGCAGTAAACTGTTAAACTATTTGTGTTCATGATTACATTAATAGATTCAAATAATATTATAAATAAGTTTGCAACATCATAACGGACTGTTTTTGTACAGTTCAAATAATTGGACGCAGCTAACAGCCTTGCACATTCAAGTTCAAAATGGCTGTGCCCGCTCTTACTTTGTAAATAAGGCGGATGCATTTCTCATGTATGGTTTCTGAAAAGCCTTTGCACCTCAAAATAAAAAAATACACACCAGCATTTTTGGAATATGTTAAATGAAAGCCTCCCCTGCCCAGTGCAGTGTGAGCATGTTAATACCCCAATACCCCAAAGAGGAAATATACTGTACCGCAGCGGATTTAATTAAATGAATCATTGGTTTACTGTGGAGAATCATTGATGTTTAAAACAGTCATAGCAAGCATTCAAAATGTCCAACAGAATATGATTGAATGCCAGTGGAAAAATTATGTATTTCTTATTTACTTCTCTAGAGCCTGACCACAGAAATTCATCACACTTCTGAAAGTAAAAATGTGACCCTGGACCACAAAACCAGTCTTAAGGGTCATTTTTTTTAATTGATATGTATACATAATCTGAAAGCTGAATAAATAAGCTTTCCGTTGATGCATGGTTTGTTAGGATAGGACAATATTTGGCCGAGATACAACTATTTGAAAATCTGGAATCTGAGGGTATCAAAATATTGTATAGGAAGACTAGCCTGGTCTCAGCAAAGTAACTCATCTATTAATGACATCATGTCATATTTCATTTCTCTTATCAGTCTTAATTTACCATCTAAAATGCTATAATTACAGGGGTCTTGTAAAAAAATAGCCCTCAAGCATTTTCTCTTTCTTTTCCCCCTCTCTCTCCTTCTGAATAATTCACTACAGTTCATTATCCCTTGGGTTCCTGGCTTTAAAAATGTCTCCATGTTTCCACACACCCTCACATTCCAGTCACACTACACCCTGGGCCGATGTGGAGATAGTTATGATGGAGCAATCCAGCCGAAAACAGTATTACAAATAGTTGCAGGTCATTATCTGAATATGTTTCTCTGATGTATTTCTGGAGAACATGCATGATTCTTTTAAATTAAATTCTTATGATTTATGTTAACTAAGTAAGTGCATTCTTCAGTTGTATCAAAGTGTTTCCACAGCACAGCACTGCAATAATCAGATAGTCACAGTCAGTGTTATTTTAGTATTATTTATATACTATTATAGTATAGAATTTTTTGCTTTTAATATTTCTTCTATTCTATTTTAACATTTTAGTTATTTTAGTACTTAATCTTATTTCAATTATCTTCATCTCATGTATATAGGCTATATTACTTTATTTCAGCTTTGATTTCAGTTTTTGTTTTAGCAACAATTTTTAACATGTAACACTAGTCTCACCAACAGCTCTGGTCAAAGCCATTATTTGGAAGGGATCCCATAAATCGTAATAAATAACAATAACATAATAAAATAACTAATCATCAGCTATTTTTAATTTTCATTCATCACTACTTTATTTTGTATTTATATTAATACCATTTATTTGAAAATGTTAAAATATTTAAATCAATTTAAATTGATAAAATAACATTTATTCACAAGACATACAAAGACTTCTATTGCAGTGTGTACTCATAGACCTATGCAGGCGGTCACATTCACTCCTCCATTACCATTTCCCTCTCAGCCGTCAAACATGCCCTTGTGATTACAACGGGATGCTCTTAATCTCAATGACTGTTATCTTATCATACCCTTAACCCTTGCTGTCGAGCAAATGTCAACAGGGCACCGGGACCTTGAGTGCTCCAAACAAACCTCAAAGACCGATAGAGGGAATGTGAACTTTAGCACTCTGCCAGCATCTCGCCTAATTCAATGAACTTGACAGTTAATGAAGTGCTTTATTTTCACCCATCTTCTCATACATAAAAGCCTGCCACACCAATTAGCTTTAATTCACTTTTTTTCTCCTCTCTCTTTTCTTTTCATGCTTTCAAGCCTGCAGAAAGCACAATATTCCAATAATTTGCATTATCCAGAGAATCTACTTTGAAGTTGTGAGATACTGTAAGAAAAAGGGCTCCACTTATCCCGCAGAAAAAAAACCGAAAAAAAAAAAAAACCTTCAAAGCCTCTAAATACTCTGGAACAGATGTACATTATCATTGGATTTGCGTTTTCGGCTCTTTGCTCCTGTATGGTTAATAGTGTAGCGCATAGTCGCGTGTCCCTCACATCCTCTGTGTTTAGCATCTCCTCTCAACAGAAGCTAGCACCCCACTGGGCCAATCCGCACTTCAAAGCACTGTGTCTATCTACAGGAGACAAAGCGCACTCCACACATATGGAAGCAGCCTCCTCACTCACGCTCAAGTCAATAGCATCATTCGCTGACTTGCTCGCTTGCTGTCTGTTTGTTTTTGTGATGCAGATATGGCTCTTCCAGACCTACAGTCCCCACCAACCTCACCACACAAATCCAGCACCCAGTGTGAACCTGGTGTCACTTTTACACTCTTGTGGAAAATATTTGTTGAGTTGAGGAGAAAAAAGTTCTAGGAGAAAGGAAAGTAGGCGTAGTTCAAATGTTAGCGCATAGCGCTAGCAATGCTTAAAGGTCATGGGTTTGATTCCCAGGGAATATGCATGCTGATAAAAAATTTAGGTTGAATGCACTGTTACATTTGATAAATTAAATGTAAGCTTCTTGTGCAGACAATACTGGGACAACAAAATTCGGTAACACTTTAGAATAATGGTCTGTTGTTAACAAGTAACTATGCAGGAAGTAATAGGTAGTACTACATTAACACTTAACTTAATACTATTAACTAATATAGAAGCAAGATTAACTAAGCAGTAAGTAGTAGCAAATTTAGGACAAAGGTAGTTCCTTATTAGATATTTCATAATTACTAAAAAATATATATATTTTTAAGTGAATTTTCATTTTTATTATTATTCTATGTTTAAGTTTGAACATCCATCCTTTGGTAAGAGTAGTAGTCACAATTTCAACCTGTAGCCGACTTATTTGGGGGATATCATATTCATAACTTAGTTTCCACAAAGCACCCCATTGTTCACTTTTAAGACGTTACTGTTGTGATTAGTAATGAATTGGTTATTCTTTATTAATTGGTCATAGTTCACAAGTAGTTCTCAATGAGGATATATATTTTTAGTAATTATGAAATATCTAATATGGAACTACCTTTGTCCTAAATTTGCTACTACTTACTGCTTAGTTAATCTTGCTTCTCTATTAGTTAATAGTATTAAGTTAAGTGTTAATGTAGTACTACCTATTACTTCCTGCATAGTTACTTGTTAACAACATACCATTATTCTAAAGTGTTACCCAAAATTCTTGTTCTGTATAGCATTCACTCTTAAATTGAATTTAAGACTGTACAAATACAGTACAGTAAATTGGTGTATTCCCATAGTGCTGCTTACTTACAGCAAATTTTATTTATCTATCATAAATTAAATGATATAATCTACCTTTCTAAAGTTTGAAATATATTTTTATTTAGCAAGGATGCATTAAAATGATCAAACTTGACCATAATCATTTCTGTTTCAAATGCTGTTCTTTTGAACTTTCTATTTCTTCAAAAAATCCTCAAAAATGTATCACGGTTTAAAAAAAAATAATTAAGCAGCACAACTGTTTTCTGGTGGGTTTTCCAGAGTTTAGTGTAGTGTGATGCTCTCACATTTCCACCGTCCTCCTGAGCAGAAGAGTCAGCCGAGCTCACGCTAAACATATCAGCAAGTCAAACAGGTTCAAACCAAACATAATCAACTCATCACTGACAAAATTCTCAATTTTAACTGCTGTCCATATTGGGGCCCAAAATTGCAAGAACAAGTGCACATTTTTATAACTTTCAATACAAGTTTTTTTTTCCTCTGTATAAAATAATCAAAAAAGAGAGATGAGAACAATTATATCGCACAAACGTGGAGTATTAAAACACCTGCTGTGATCTTCAACACACACCTCATAATCTTCCGTAGTGCTGGTTTCAGATGCACATGCACTCATTAACTCTCTGTCAGTGGGGTATTGGTGAGTTATGGGAGGACTGGAGACTTCTAGGCGGCGATACTGTCATCCTGCCCCTGAGGAATGAGGCAGCTGCCATACACACTCACTCACTCCCTCTAGGTGACTTGGGATACATCGAACCTAAAATAGATTCATAATGTACTATTTAAATGCTGTTTTAAACTGCTGCATGGGAACAGATGAACTCCTACCAGACTTGTTTTCTCGCTACCTAACTCACTTCTGCCAATACCGAGCTAAAGGCACTGACATACTGTCTAAAAGATCCTAATTCAGTTTGAGAACATATTCTTGGGTTCTGAAAGAAATTAAAAAATCTAAATGGTGATTCTGTACAAAAAAAAGCTGTGGTTCACAGCTCCCTTCAAAACCAATAACATCGTCTTGTCAAATCAATGACTCAAAAGTGAAATGAACCTGAGAAATAAAAATAAAATTTTTCCTTGGCAGCACAGATTCCTTTACACTTTACAACTTGAATTATCTGAATTGACTGAACTAATAAGAAGGAAAAGTTGAAACCACAACTAAACAAGCAAACGATACAATAATATCAGGTGTAATATATTCAATGTTTTCCAATCATTTGATTAGACCCATTTTGACTTGCTATAAACCTGACAGGAATATGTTTCAAATAAATAATTTTTTTAACAAGCTTCAAAACATTATTCTACAATCATCAGAAGATTATTTTTAAGATTCCATATTGTCTGATACACATAATTACACTATAAACTCTGATGCCTAGTGGTCTTAGAATGCAATTAGCTTAAAGTTACAGGGACAGGAAAACACCAAAAACAAAACAAAAAAACATATTAATAGAAACGTTTCAGTAATAAAGCTTACAATGGATTTAAATCCAATACATCTTGACATGACTGCAGATTGTTGGCATATTACAACAGACAGACAAATAAAACATAAAATCTGAATAAAAAATTGTCAATAATACCGATAATCATAATAATACTAGAGGTAGCAGCTGATTATGATGCTCTGTTTTCTTCATGTAGATTGGTAGAGTGTAGTTCTCATACTGTCCTTCAACAAAGTCCTATTTGATGGTTTGAGTGTCTTTACTGGCTCTTTTATGTACACGTGTCCTGTATTGCATTTTTAAAGGTGTTGATTCAGATCTGTTGTTTCGGAGAGAGAAGCTCTTCATAGATAAAGTGTCTCGAATGCAATGGCACAAGAAGTGCTTTTCAAGTGGTCTTCAGTGGAAAAAAGAAAACAAAAAAAGGATAAGTGTAAAAAAGACCCCTTAGGCACACATAGATGCGCAGATTGTGCGCATACACAAAACGTAAGTTACAAAACCAAGGAATTGTATTCCTTCAAAAGTGGTTTGACAACTCAAAATTCTTCATTTAACAGGGCTGACCAACTTTTCAACCAAATAGACCAATCAGATAAGAATTAAGAGAGGGAGAGAGAAAAACAAAGGAGGCAGACAGAGTGATAGAGAGAAAAAAAGAAGAGAAAAGGGAAAGATAGAGCCCTTACGTAGTAAGTAAACCTCTCCTGCTGCCAAAGACAGGACTGAATACATCAGCACACATTCAAACCGACCCACACAACCTCTCTCACACACACACACACACACACACTTATATATACAAATGCGCACATATTGTCTGCCACTTTGGCATGAACATGATGCTTTGTGTCCTTCTCAGCCTCAATGTGGCCATGCAAGAATATTTAAAGGTCATTCAATTGTTACGTTCCTCATTGTTATTCTTATTTAGATCCTTTATATAGCCCATCTGTTTTACTCTTCAGGACTGATAGAAGTGATGGTAGTGATGATGATGTTCATGATGATGATGATGCTCGTGTCGCTGGACCACCTGAGCTAGTCCTCCTTCATATAGCACCAGACTGGGCAGATCCCTCACATGCTCTTTCTCCACGACTGGGCCAGACTTCACAGTCGGCCCAAGAGCCCGATAGTGCAGGCCTTCTTTAGGCCTCTGCTTGTGTCGTCGGTACGGGCCTGAGCTTTGGTGCGGAGGGGTCTGGTTGGGGATCGCTGGAGGAGGGGGCGCTCCTCTTCTTATCACCCGACCAGCAGAGGTCTGTGTGGGCGGCGTACGATGCGTTTTGGGGGAACGGAGTGCGTGTGTGTGCCGGGAGAGGATGGCAGGAGGGTCTGTGGAGATGGTCTGTGAGCGCCGATGATGAGCGGAGTACGCATGGCCATTCTCTGGTTCCTGAGAACGTGAGCGTGTCTGATTGGATGAACGTGTTGTATGGTTGGGTTTTGCTGGTTCTGTGGCAGGAGCTGCTAGAGGAAGCACAAAATAATTAGTTTTAAGGGTTATTATTATAAATATGTTTTATTAGTATATAAATAATTGTGCCTTTACCAAAAAATATTGTTAAAGGGATAACATCTTCGGAACACAAATTAAGGTATTTTTGATGAAATCCGAGAGCTTTCTGACCCAGCAACACAGCTACCACATTCAAGGCCCAGAAAGGTAGTAAGGACATTGTTAAAATAGTCCATGTGACATCAGTGGTTCAACCGTAATTTTATGAAGCTACAGGAATACTTTTTGTGCGCAAAAAAAACTAAAATAATGACTTTATTCAATAATTTCTTCTCTTCCATGTCAGTCTTCACTGCACGTTCATGAAAGAACTGATGCTTATGTGAATTCCTCTGCTTGCAAACAAGATGCAGCACATCCAGGTTCTGCATCAATAAAGTTATTATTTTTGTTTTCTCTGTGCACAAAAATATTCTCTTAGCTTCATAAAATTACGATAGAACCACTGATGTCACATGAACTATTTTATTGTCTTTACTACCTTTCTGGGCCTTGAATGTGGTAGTTGCGTTGCTGTCTATGCAGGGTCAGAAAGCTCTTGGATTTCATCAAAAAAAGTCTTAATCTGTGTTCTGAAAATGAACGCAGGTCTCATGGGTTTGGAACGACATGAGGGTGAGTAATTAATGACAGAATTTTCATTTTTGGCTGAACTATCCCTTTAAGTGTCAAGTCATTTTATGATCTCTTGAAAATTATATATGTTCAGGTGCATGTTATCATAAACGGTTCAGCACTAAATACAGACGTACCAAGTGGTCCAAAACACTTTTATGACCTGATCACTTAAATCAAATTGGGAGTCAATGACATTTATCCATTGAGCTGGGGGTTTTACACTTTTCTGGTTCTTGTGCAGTTTTTTAAGAAAAAAAATAATCATTAATATTTATAAAACCTGCAAAATGTGTAAATATACTTTTATTTATTAACAATTCATGTTCGTTCATAAAACACAAACTAATGTTATACAATTAAATTTTTTTTAAATGTATATGCAAAAATTAACATTGACTAATAAATCCTGTCTTATGAAAAAGAAAAGCACTTCTTATCTTCTGCTATCTTACAGTAAGATGTTACTGATGCAGGTGACACATCAATGTTTTTGGGCGGATTGGTTGTGACTGGATCACACGAGACATCCACACGAGACAATGAGAAAACTCTGTTGGCTCCATTTACTTTTTGCAATTAAGATTGTACCTGTTCCAAAGCGGGATGTGTAGTTTTCAATGCCGGCCAGGTCAAGGTAATGGTTTCTTCTCTCCAAGTTCTCATCCACACAGTGCCGCTGGCAACCTTGCTGGTTGTGGTGATTAGCATGGTAACGCCTAATACAACAGCATCATATTGCCATGACTGCAAGTACATTGCTCTGAGGTTGTGTACATAAAGCGGGCTTGAACCAATCATTGTCCGTTAAATGTTAATTTCTTTAAAGATTCTATGACATGTTCTTCCGAAGTTTATATATTGTAGTTTTATCTAACAGTTACAGACACTAATGTGTGAAACTGATTTACATATGAAATTAAGTTACATAAACAGACCACATCATAAGTACCTAAGAAAGGCTCTTGACTTTTTCTCTGAAGTCTTGGAGTCCTCAATGCACTTTTCTCCCTTATGCTTGGGATGGGGAGTATCTGTTGGAGGCAGAGTGAGTGAGAGAGAGAGAAAGAGAGAGAGAAGAGGGGGTCTTTATCAAAGAGAATGGCGTTGAGTTGCACAGCATCACACACCCACACATATACTGAAGCAGCTTTAAAGACCAACCAAAATAAGAAAGAAACCTTTGTTCCCTGCTTTCTATTTACTTTGAAGGTTCATAAAAGAAGAAAAACCAACAATGCTTCATTTATTCTATTTTGAACCTCAGGCCTCATATAAATCTAAAAAACGATGCATATTTTTCAGAATTCTTTGATTATTAGACATTTCAATAGAATATAAATATTTTGAAGAATTTGAAATAGAAATCTTTTGTATCATTATGTCTTTAGTGTGACTTTTAATCAATTTATTTTTAATGCTTTAATCCTAGCAGAATAAATGTATTAATTTCTTTAAAAAGCCAACTAAATATGTTTGTTTGTTTTATACTGACCTCAAACTGTAATTGTTTGTGTGGGCCGACAGTGGCAGAGGCTTCAGTGTCCTGCATTCTCTCTTCCACACTACAGCTGTCGGTCTTCTCAGGGGGCAGGGCCACTGCAGGGGGACACACATTCACATAATGGTGTCAAATGCTTTTTTAAAGCATGACAAACGCTTTAAAAAAAATTTAAGAAATGTCATACTTAAGAAATGTTGTTATTGTATTTTTTTTTGTTTTCATCTCATGTGACTGTTACCCATTTTGTACATTTTTCAGAAGTGTTATTCATTTCTAAATATTGAAATGCAGCTTTATGAGCATATATGAGCTAAAATAGACAGATGAGAGAAGGGAAATAGTTAATTGAGAATGCCTAGGAAGCACCTAGCTATTTTTGAATGTAGCCATGTCATCTCTACTATTGCAGTCATATTACACTGAAGACACTCATAAAGTCTCATAGAATGGGATATAATCCTTCAGCCAAAATTTGCAATCACACGCTGATTATTAATCTCAGAAGTACATGTTCCTCTACACACTTTGTTAGAGTCTTGGAAAGCAATGATGGACATGTGGCACACACATAGCTCATGTCCACATCACAATTCAGGACCATTTTTTGTGCAGTGGCAGCACTTTCACAATGGATTGTCTTACATCCCCACTAAGTGAGCCAAAGCCAACAAAACTCTCTAAGATGTTTAGGTAGGATGAGGAAGAAGCCCAAGGAATCAAGACAGCAGATAAAAATGTAAACAGTTTAAATCAAGACACAATGTGACAGTAATGTCATCAATGATGTTAAACGGCACTGATCGTGACATGCTGAGTTTAATATGTCACAACTGAGATTTGGGTTCTTCAGCTGAAGGCAAGATTTTCAGTCAATAACCACTTGGTCTGTTTTTCAAACAAAACTATTGTCAGACTTGGAAGGCTAGAGTTATTATAATGCTGTTTTACCTTTGAAGCTTCACAGTGTCTGTACATTGCACTTAACTGCCTTCTTTTTTGTTCCACAGAAGAAAAAAAATGACATACAGGTTTGGAACAAGACAACAGAATCGTCATTTTTGGGTGAACTGTCCCTTTAAGAGCAGACTATGGGAAATCAGCACTATGCCTTGCTAAAGCTGCAAGTATAAATGCGTAAACAGGCCTAACTGCTGCCATCACATCCTAAGGCCAGGCTTCACAAACATCCTCGATATCCTATTTGTGTCTATGTCTGAAATCACAAGCAAATTTAAAGCGAGTCGCTGAGCAAGACGAAGTCTAACAGCGGTCCGTTCTGATGTAGAGAATGCCTGTCAGGATTAATCCTGAACTCAATACCCAAATTTCAGAGGCAGTTTGTCTCTTTGTGTATTGTGGGTAATAAGATGGAGATGTTTTAAACGAGAGCAGATCTAACGCAGCTCAGTGAGGACACGGCTCAGCACCAGGCTGGGTCCTGCAGGCTAAATCCTCCCCCCTGCCCCAAATCCCTGCGCTTTGAAGTTCCATTCTCAAACCTTTTGGCCCAGGATCAGTCCGTCTGTAAAACAGAATCTCTAATTAATTAAGCAAAGTCAAATCTGAAACAGTGTTTGTTGTATGAGCCAAAAGGATAGGCAGACACAACAGTATCTCTCTCTGTCTTCTCTCTCTCTCATTCACTTCTCCTCCGCTGATCCGCTCAGATCAAAGAGGACCTGTCTTGTCCCTCTGCAGCGAGAGGCAAGGGAGGATGAAAAAAGAAAAGAAAAGCACCAGAGGATGAGAGCAGTCGTCCCAGGGAGCTTTTACAGGTTTTTTGGAGGGAAACAGCGTCAGATCAGGGCTTTTGATCAGGGCCAGAAACTCAAAGGCAATGCTGAGCTCCAGGGCCAAAGCCTGCTTGCCAGCCAGCTCACAATATACAGGAGCTGTTTATCTAGAGGACTAACAAATGGTCACAAAGAAACTATACACACACACACACCATACACACAAAGGAAGTGCTAACTCTCACAGCAATAGTCAAAGTCCTTCCCCACCGAGTGATGAGACAGCCAAACCCGCTACAGAGCTCCGATGACGGAGCTTAAAAACCGCGCTATACAACACAGAGGGCAGCTTGGCAGCGTCCCAAAGGTGGCTTTGAATCTAAAGGTTCACCTGGAGTTCAGAGTAAACTGTGTGGTGACTGGTTAATAGCTAAAGCCTAGTGTGTTTCCTCAGTGTGGAAGCTGGTACAGGCTAAGATGCAGTATAACTGTAACAACAAGTAATCTAATCTTTTTAAGTTCCTTGGTCAAAACTTCCCATCCTTGCCTCCAAAAGTAGGGTTTTGCCTAAACAATCTTTTAACATGCTGCTATGAGCTTAATTAGCTAATTATGACATCCTGATGACAAATCCAGCAGGTTTGGGGGAAACTACAAAACCACATTGCTCCCATTAAAATGAAAAAGCTATCTAGACTCAACTGTATTGCTATCAAGATATATTTAAAAACACTGCCATATGACCTCTGTATGTGTACATACAGTATATGATGACAAAAAAAAATCTTTAAAAAAAGGGTGCCATATCGAATTCCAGAGTTTCCAGTCATGGTACAATTTAACTCCTGACTATGAGGCAACAATAACACCTCAAACACCTAGCCAATCATATCTCTCCTTGACTGACCTTTGATCCACACAAATATGAGCGGACCACATTCAAGCATGTATACGCTGCCTGTAAACGTTGTTTGTAAAGGAATCTGACCTGTTGCTGCCTCTCGATGATGACCTTCAATTCACAGTCAAATGATTCGATTTTCTTTTGCCTAAAACCTATATAAGAATCTTGATCCCCAAGCAGATGCTTTCATTACAACTAGGGATGCACGATATATCGGCCACCATATCGGTATCGGCCGATAAATGCTCATTTTTTCTGTTATCGGTATCGGCCTGATAAGAAAATTTGGCCGATATCTTAAAGCCGATAAATAATGCATTATTTCCTTCAGAGACACTTCAGATGCGCGCTGTTCGTTTGCAGCCTTTTGTGCAATTGTACATTGTAATATTGTGTTTATTTGATGTATATCTGATTTATCTCATATAGAATGCGTTTGGTTAAGTTAAAAGAGCGCTTCAGTTTACCAGTGATCATCTTTAGCTCAGC